AAACCGGAACAGAGTGAACAATAAAAGGGTGTTTGGTTGATGGAATTGGAAGCAATTGGAATGTCCAACTCTTTGACCTAATTCCAAATATCATGTTTGGTTCTCAGAATAGATGTGAAGGAATCCTTCCAATTCCAACAAATTCCTTAAGTCACCGATTTCACAATTCCACCGCATATACCACAGATTTCAAATTCCAATTTGACAAATTCCTTAGCCCTCATCCAAATTCATCGACGTTGTATCTCGATTTGCTCTGCTTTGCTATTCTCGATCCCCTTTGCTCGATCTCGTTTAAATCTAGAAATGGCAACGGGCCAGGTTCCGGCCGGTTATTGGTATCCACAAAACCGATAACTGAAGCCATTCTCGTGACCGCCCTCATCCCGGTCGGGGATCTTATCGGGGATCCCATCGGGTCCCCGCGGTTTCCCCAATCCCCGTTGGGGAACCCGTTAAGGTAAAAATCCTTTTTTTCTCGTTCACCGTTGGTTATATAACCGAAACCCGAAACAAATCTAAAAAAATTACAATATGTTAATTTTCACAACTAAAAGTAAATTACAATTTTTTTAAAGATGCAAGTTTAAATGTCTCAAACATAATCGAACCAATTACAAACAATGTATTAGATTACAATATAAAACTAAACAGAACTTTAAACATCATACAACAAAAATCACGATTTCACAATTAGACCAATAAACCAGACTTTTTCGTGAGCCTTATTTGAGTTGTTTAAGTAAAGTGGATAAAAGTTTTTTAAATTTTAATTTTACTATTTTCTTTTAATGTTATTATATATATATGTATGTATATAAATTAGAATTAATATATACACACATATCAGGTCGGGCCGATGATCACCGTCCCTGCCCCCGTCCCCATTAAAATCCCCAAATTTGTCCCCAATCCCTGTCCCGTCCCCGATAAGATGTCTCCGAACCCGGCCGAAAGTTTCGGTTTTCAGTTTTCACCATCGGTTTCGGTTTTTTTTTTTTGTCATCCCTATTCAAAACTGCTCGATCTGGTATGCTCGACCTCTCTCTCTCTCTCTCTCTCTCTCTCTCTCTCGTTCTTTCCATCCTAAAAAGGATTTTCTCGAAATGCCATCTATGTAATTTTCTCGTTGAATTCGGTGAATGAAACAAAAAAATTCTAATTCCGTTAAGAATTTCATTCCAATTCCATCCAACCAAATGCAATAAAAAGACATGGTCAAATTCTATCAAATTTCATTCCATTCCCTCAAAATCAAATTCATTTGATGAATTCCAATTCCGAATTCCATTCTACAAACCAAACGCCCTCTAATTAAGAATGAGAAGAAATGTTCATATGCCACCATATATCTTTTTCTCTCAATTTTGTTTGCTTTGCTTCCTCACTTGATTTTGAGACAGGAACTTATGCAAAAAGTATATTATTAAGTGAACCTTAACAGTAAGGTGACGTTTGTTTTTTAAAAGGTGCTGAAGTCTGAAATCTTATTTCACTTGTGATTAATAAGAGGTGATGCTGAAGTCCAAAATCTGAATCGATAAGATTGTTTGTTTTTATAACCTGACAAACGCCTGAAGTCTGAAATCTTATCAATAATTTGTTTTTGTAAAATCAGGTGCAAACATTTTGCAAAATTCTCTTGATTTTCATAAGAGTGTAAGTAAGAACAAACTAGTAAAACTTTGGGTATTTTTCTTCGGTGATCATCGATTCAAGTTTCCTCAAAAGCCATTGAAGGTTTGCTTGTTAACTTTAGAATATAATAAAATTTGTGGATGTACACAAACTGCTCGAGATATCCACCGTTACAAAAAAAGAGTGAAATAAATAGGAATCAACTTAGAATTCATAATTAACATATATTATTCTCATTTCAAGAGAATATAAACTTGGAAACGAGATATGAAGTTTTTATAAGGAAGATCCAAACATTTGCAACAGAAATAATACGGAAAACGAATTCACATGAAATTTCGTCCGATTTAATTCGATTTTAACATTAATTCTAAATCAAAACAATAACTTTTAAATTTGCTTGATATAAAAGGATATCAATTAGGTACCAAATTGTAATACGGAGTTAAGAATCACGATCGAGCTCCCTAAAGTACCATTAGATCACCGGAGTTAAAACTGTTTGATTCCTATAACTGGAATCCCACTTCTTTCGACACCGGTTCATGTTGCGATCACACCCAGTATGTTTCAGTTCTTGAATCAGAGAACTTTCTTAAGAATAAATATCATAAAATAAGGTTTGATCCTACTTCACGGAGAGTTGATAAATATCCCTTCCAAAAATGGAAATAGTTAGAAAATTTAAAGAAGCTGAAAGTGTTTTTTAAATTATCCGATAATATATTTATCGTTTTTGTAAAAATTAAGGTGAAAGTAAATCAACAACGGGGATGTAGCTCAAATGGTAGAGCGCTCGCTTTGCATGCGAGAGGCACGGGGTTCGATCCCCCGCATCTCCAATTTCTTGCGAAATTTTCCAATTGTTCTTTTCAATTTTGAAATTAACCAAATACACTTGAATTTTGAGTGAACTACAGATTTGGTTCATCTAGTTTGCAAAAATGTTTGGATTTGATCTCTTTCTCCAAAAAAATACATTAAACAAGACGTATTTTCATCATTTTATTGATTTTTTTTTATTTCATACCCAATAAAAATCATAGGGACCAAAATCATAAAATCGATTTTGATAAGATGAAAGACAAAGAAATCGAGTGGTTCTTGACAGCATTGCGTCCTCCATGTCCCGTCTCGTTACTAGTACGCTACCATCTTCACCAAAGGCCTTCCACAACCGCACTTGAGCTGAATGGTGTTTGGGTTAAAAAGTTAAAAGTTATTTGATGTTCGGGTTAAACAGTTTGGTTAAGCAAAAAAGAATTTGTTATTCGATTAGGGTTTAGGAAATTTTTTTTTTACCAATTCAGTTAAACTGAATAAAATACACTACAACACAATTGGATTTATAAACTTTTAAGCGGCCTAATAGATGCTTTACAAGACTTGTTTTATATGACCAAAAAACCGTCTTAGCTAAAGACATTGTAATAAGTTATAAGACGCTTTTGTGCATTTTAAAAAGTTTTTTAGAACTCTTTTAATACAAAGCGTCGCATTAACTATCGTATAGAACACTTTTGAGAACCATCTTTTTATAGAACACTTGATTTTGTTAGACTCTTTTTCAAATAATATCATATAAAATAGCTAATACAACGCATTTTAACAAAAATACCCTACAAAAATTTGTTACGACATCTAAAAGCATTCAATAAATTTATTATTACATCTTTAGATATAACACTTTATTTTTTGGTTCTATAAATTAAGTCTTATAAAACGGTCTATTAGAAACTTAAAATTTTTTGATATCTTATAAATTTTAATTTTACTGTAACGACATTATATTTTTATTTCTATACTAATGAGACAAACTAGTAACACATAAAATTGTAATTATTTTATATATTCTTTTTCTAATATATTGCTTTTTGTTTGATATTTTTTATATTTATTACTTGATATGTTATAAATAGACAATAATATTAAATGTTAATTTAAATATGCAAATTTTATAAAAGAAATTACATGTGATTTAACAATAATGATTCTATTTTTCATGACTATTATTAAAAAAACAACAATTTTAATACGAAAAATTACAAAATAAGGAATTTTTTTATCGAAATATTTTGAATTGAAAAATGGTGCAATTCTTGTTGGATATGGAAAGGAGAGTTCTGAATGGCATGTTCTTATTGTATAAGCACCGTGTTATCATAACTTTCCATTTCATTCAGATCCAGAAAAATGACTTTTTCTGATGTAAATTTAAAAAGTCGATATCTGTTGACTTCCGCTATAAATCTGTTGTTAAACCGTCATTGATAATCTTAGGGTTTGAGATTACTTATAAAAATAACTTATTAACTTATTCCGTTGTGTTACTGGTAATAATCACTTTTGAGTGTTTGGATTAACACAGTTTATACCGGTGTCAAACCGGTAATAAGAAGTTTTTGAAGAAGTTAAAGCATTTTAACTTATAATAAGTTGATAAAGACTTTTGTAGAAAAACATAAATTGTTTCAAATAAGCAATCCCAAACACCCCCTTAAAAAAATTCATTCCAAACACTTTTCCGACGATTTAGCGACAAATTGAAAATAGTAAATTTTTAAAAAATAATTAACTTTGATTATTTAAATTTACCAACTGATTTTTAATTATTTTTTAAATTTAAATCTATTGTTTACTTTAAGAAATTAAAGTTAATAATTTCTTTTATTTTTATAAATTCCATAAAAAACTTAAGATTTTTTATTTACCCATGTCCACCACCATTCGGCGGTAAATAAAAAATCTTATATTCTTTTAAATTTCTAAAGTATTAAAAATATAGAAATTTTTAATTACCTGCGGATGATGATGGTTGTCGGTGATCCACTGGTAATAATTAAAAAACCGTACTCTTTAAGAAATTTAATTTTTTTAAAGGAAATTGGATTACCGGCGACATCCACTATCCGTCGGTAGTTCTATTTTTCTTAAATAATGAAAAAAAATTGTTTGTGGTGGATTAGTAGCGGATTTCAACGCCCCTTTTTCGACAGAGAAATCTGCCGGTAAAAGCCATTTTTGGGTGAATTTTTTTGCCGAAACGTCCGTTGTTTGATGGTATTGTGTCTTGGATGTGACAATGCAAAGATCAAAGATATGACACAAAACCATGTAAATATGCAATGAATCAAACGCTTGTGTATCAGAGGAGAATAGATCTGCGTATGTAAAGCTTTTGCATTGCAATGAACCTAATTAAAATGTTAAATCAAATATAACCCACAATTTAAAGTGCCGAATTCGTTATTTAGGATTAGGGTTCTACAAACTTGCATTTATTGCTAGTTATATATGTATATATTTGGTGGTAGCATATAATTGCATGATGTATGTATGATAATGGAGGTGACCTCAAGATTCTATTTCGTGTAAACACCAACAAAATCAGTGCGGCTTGAACCCACGTATAATGCATCGTTCATCTCTTGAACCACTGCAATACTCATGTTCAAGAACTGCGATAGGGCCACTGTTTGAAGCACCATTGCAGACCCATTAACCCTTAACCCTTGAGCTTCACTCATCTTCTCTACTGCCACCCAAAACTCTCCACCATTTACAGCTCTTTTAATATTTTTTGGAATCCCACAATCGGTCATGAACACATCATTTGTGTTTCTTTTTGGTCCCTGCACCCAATGCCTTTGGATTTGCTTCTTCACGTAGTCTGGAACCAAAACGTACTTCCTGTCACTACTAACGGCCGGACCACCTCCTCCGGAAAGCCCACTTAACAAAACAGTGACTCGTTGAGTTCTTGGATCGTATTTCAAGAGCCTTCCGGTTGAGTCAGGTGTAAACCCTGGTTGTGTCATGTTTCTGCACACCATGATAAAGATTTAGTTGGGGGTGTGATTTTGTGTTTTCGAATAGATATGATGTTGATTTTGCGACAGTACCTTATGTCATAAGTCAAGCTAGCATCGGTCACATAAACATTTCCAGTGTATGATTCAACGTCGATGCCAGAAAGGTACTTGTAACCACCAGAAAGTTGGGTTGCAAGACCACCATTGAATCCTACAACCAGGAGACCAAGGAAAGCATCGGTGATATAAAGATCACTGGTTTTATAGTTGAAGCTCAGAGCCAATGGTCTTCCACATGTTGAACCCAATTTCAGATCATTTGTACCATCACATACTTGCTTGGTCCTGTCAAGAGAAAATGAAAATTTACCAGGTGATTAGTGATATGAGACTGAAAGACTCGACGTAAAGTCTGTGTGTAGCAAAGTGGAATATATAACCTGTTAGGTGAAGTGTATGCAAAATCAACGAAACCGGTGGTGGGATTTTTCCATTTGAGGATCCGACCATCTGCGACGGTCACATACGGACCTCCACCTTGACGATCGAAGGCAGCAGATTCAGGGCCTGTGACATTTGGAGGCAATTGAAGCTTGTTAAAACTAGTGGTATCAGAGAAAACAGTTCCCAGAATCAAGAAGCAAACAATGAGATCAACAACGAACAAGCTGCTTGTTTTCATGGCTACGATATGATATATGCAAATGCAGGTTGATTTGTTTGTGAATTGCATGCATCCTTCTTCATCTATTTATACACATTGACGCTCACACACACACACACATATACTATACACGTAGCAGCTACTTGTGGCAGTTGACCACTGCTTCTCCCATTTGGGGATAAAGAGATAATTGCTTAAACATGGTGGAAAGCACGATCGCCGACTAATTCTGTGTGCATTTGTGTGTCTTTATATCTACGTTCATTACCAACTACTTTTTGGATTAAAACTGAAGGCTTTTTTTTAATAAATCTAAATAAGGGAAATGTAATGGAGTATGATCTAAATTAAATCAGAATGTTGGTTCTCTATCATCATTTAATATCAACCTTACGTGATATATACGCAACTTCACAAGAACCATGCAATCACTTGCTAATTATGGATTATTTAAATTATAATAAATAAGAATAGTAATGTAATTAGGTATTTTTTATAATTTTTTATGTTATTTTAATTAATTATAATTATTTCATTGTTTTTAGTTTAGAACTGATCATGTTGAACTCCTGTCGTCATCATCATCGTTTTCTTTATCTGAGTCGGTCTTGTGATAATCTCAGTTTCAATGACCGAGAATGGAAGATTTGAGTGGCGTTTGTAAGGAAGCTATCTATGTTCATACAATTTCAAGTGATAATCGATTTTGGAGTTGTGATAGTTGGCTTATTCGATTTCTATATCATGCCTCAACTGTGATAATTTTGTGATAGACATCGATTACATACACTGTGATAATCATGTGATTGCTTGTATAAATTATATATTTATCGATTTTGTCCTAAATACACTATGATAATCATGTATAAGAAAGCAATCCTACAATTATATACATTGAACACTATGAACTAACCTTACCTACACTGTGATAATCATGTGATAAGCAAGTAATCTGGAAATTACATACATTATATATTAGTCGATTTTGCCCTAACTACACTACGAGAATCGATTTGGAGTTGTGATAGTTAGCCTGTTTGATTTCTCAATCATGCCTCAACTGTGATAAGTTAGTGGTAGACATCGATCGAAGCCCTAATTGATAGACATCTATCGAATTCTAATCGATGTGTCATAATATGTCAGTGTTATTAGACACATACCTTTGATCTTCTTCCTCGATGCCTTCGAAATTGACTATACAATCTTCTTCCTCGGCGCCTTTGATCGCCCAGATTATCAGAATACTCTAGATCGTGTTATTTGAATTTTAGGATATCAATTTCCAATTTTACCCTTCCACGTCTTCAGAATTTTTGGAATTGTTTTAATATTTATTTAAATTTGAAAAATACTTTCCTTCTCTTAAAATATTTAGAACATAATTCTTGGCTTAGAGATTGTTCTCGCGTTTTCGTAAGTCAATGAGGTTCTCATTTGAACTCTTCTATATGTGCGTGCGTGTGTGTTTGTGCGTGTGTGTTTGTGTGTGTGTGTGTGTGTGTATATATATATATATACTAGTTGTGTACCTACACAATGCGGCAAGAGCCATAAATTTTAACGATTTTGAAGTTTCAGTGGTTTTGTTAGAGGAGATTTTAACGATGAATAACTTACACTTAATCTTTAAATAGTAATACAATTAGAATAAATAAAAGTTATGGTTATAATTACAGTCTATCGATGAAAAAGATTGTATGGCAGTTTAAAATCCAATATATTTAAACCAATCCAACATAATAATAAATATCTAGTGAAGTATAATTTTTTTTTGAATTTTGCATCTTGGATTAGGAATATGGTCAAGTATTTTAATGATTGTTCAAATATTCTTGGATAGATAGATGAAAGCAAACCAACTTAATCATATGATATTGATCGACCATGCAATTTTAGTTTGAGTATCATTTAGTGCTCTGGTAGTGTTAACACACACAAGGTGAGAAGCAAAAGAATTAATCTGTCAAAAAATAGAGTGTTAGATATAAGCATTGGCAACGGGTGTGGGTAATATTTTGTAATTGATTGTTGTTAACAATTGGGTTCAATTATATATTTTTTAGATGAGAGTCGGGTTTAAGCAAGAATAAAACTTATGATAAGAAGGGTAAAAAACGATCTTCATTCTTAAACCAATCCTGATCGAAGATTAACACTAATGAGATGCACTGGATCCGTTCTTACATTTCCACCTTAACTTCTATTCTCACACAATACTTTAAAGATGGGTTGACCCAACTCAATCAAGAACAAGGATTACAATAATAATTCTCAAGTCTAACCACAAAAGATGGAGACAGATGGAATACACATTGATATAATTTTTCCAACAACAAAAACCAGTGCTCCAAATTGTTTGGTTTTCAATCATACATACCAACAGATTTCAAAGTAAAAAAAAATATATTTTTCATCAATTAATTACCTTAAGTAGAATATAATTCAAATACATGTTTGTATATGAATGACATAAAACGAGCGTAAAAAACGAAGGATATTCCAACCAAAAAGAATATATAAACACCATATCTATATATTAGATATTTTCGATCATTTTGAAATGTGCTTCCAACTAATCCTCAAAAGCCTCTCAATCGTGTACGTCATCCCTTTGGAGGCGTTTGAATCGATCATTCAAAATCTTGAAAGAGAGAAAAAAAAAAAATACAGGATAAAAGAATAACATGTTTAATAAATGGTGAAATGCGCCCACCAAGATATAGAACATAGAAAGAAAAAGAATACCAATATGAACCTCATCAAGTTTGATGTGGTCCCTATCGTCTTTGTGAAACACGCTTCCAACTCTAATGGCAACCTCTATGTAACACTTGAGATTTTCTCGAAATCTTCATTCCGTTCATGCCAAGGGTTTTCGTCTCGTCGCTAATGTTTATGCCTATATAAAAAAAGAAGAAGAAGAATTTATAACCTTTTTATTTATTAAGTATTTTTTTTTTCTTTTTTTGAAATGATTTTTTTGGGGGGGGGGGGGTTGCAATCTTAGGACCTTACCCTGTCCTATCCTACATAGCAAAAAGAGAAAAAAAGAAAGAGGGTTAGGTCTGGAACTACTGTCTTCTTGAAGGAAAAAGAAGGAAAAGGGGGAAAAGGGGGAAAAGGGAAGGGAGCGTAGCTAACGGTTTGAAGGAAGAAACGCAGTTGTAACCGCCTGGTTTGAAGAAAGAAACAACAGCCTAGCTGCTGGTTTGAAGAAGGAAACACGGTTGCTGGTTAGAGGAAGAACAGTAGAAGTTCATCAAGCTGCTGTCTGATCTTGAAGAGGAAACAACACAACTGCTGTTTGGGAGAAATAGAAACAGCGCAGCAGCTGTTGGAAGAAGATAGAAATAGCAGCAATAGTCGGGAAGTCGAAACTTTGAGATCCCTCTGTTAAAAGTCATTCATATTCCAATCTTGACTTGTTATCATGTTAACTAATTTAGCTTTGAACTCCTTGTTTGTTAATCTTTGACAGATAAGGGTAGAATATATAAGTTGCTGAAAAGGTTGCTGATAACTCAATACATGGACTGCGCCTTACTATTTCATATTAACCAAGGGTAGCGGAGTACTAAAGGAGAATCTTCAAGGGGCTTTCTTGTCAAATCTGAAATATATATAAAGGGGCATTTGACCGACTCAGCTCATAATACAACTCAAATTTTCTCTAAATGTCTCTCACCTACTCAAGGAGCTCTCTCAATTTAGTTCTCTGTTTTCATAAAAGATCAGCCTTCGATCTTAATAAATCTACACATTGAGTTAGTATTTCTTGTTCCTTTATTCTTAGATCTAATGGTGTTAGATATTTAGATGATATATTTGTAGTCAATATGTTTCTGTTTCAATTGTTGTAAAGAATCTATATTGTTTTTAATATTCAAATGTTTGAAGTTTTGGAAAATAACATGGTATCAGAGCCTTACGCTCGGCTGTGTGTTTACCTCGCTTGTTAGATACATGACTGGTTCGAATCATCAATGTTTGGTGTGCCTTATGCCATCATACAACAGATTCATCCACGATATCGGTTGCCTTTTCATCTTCTTATTTTTTCTTTGTTCCAGAAGTGATTGTTAGGGTATGAACCATTTTTTTGGTCCTCTTTCAAGATCTGGTCCCTCTTTTGTGTTAGCTTGAGAATCTGGTCCCATTTCCAGATTCGGTTTATGTGTCAGTTGAGGATCTGATCATTTCTTCCAGATTCGGCTGGTGCATGTTCTTCTTATCTTGTTTTTGTTAAGGATCTGAGTCCTTATTTCCAGATCTGATTAAAATGCATTTTCATATTTCCTTTTATCTTGTTATTGTTGAGGATCTGGTCATTTCTTCCAGATTCGGCTGGTGCATGTCCTTATCTTGTTTTTGTTAAGGATCTGAGTYCTTATTTCCAGATCCATTTATAATTCATGTATAATTTCTTTGATTCAGATATGTGTTCTAAATGTATGTTCATATCTGTGTTCCCTTGCTTCTTTTTCGTTATATGCTACTGTTATGCTTTGAAAGTCAAGATCTGATATGTTTCAGATCTGGTATTAATGGTTACATTAACCCTTTTTCATTTGTTCAGGTACATCCTGGAACTCTCAGATAAGTTCGATTTGTTCTTTCCTTTATAATTTTGTTTCTCTTCTCT